CCCCATGCACATACTCTATAGGAAGGTGCAGAAGAAAGAGCAGGAGCTGTTTCCTTAGAGCCTGGAGGAACCGGGTGGGTCACTGAACCCTGCTTCTCATTTGTATGGCAATCTTGCTATACTATGCACTGCAAGGGGCTTCAGCTTTTGCTCGGTTCTGCCTGGATAGGTGTTCCTTTCTTTTCCTGTGGCCAACTGATAGTTGGAGAAACCCCTACATTCCATATTCATCTCTTTGTAGGGAGACAGCATCTTGTGGTATGTGTTGTAATCCAATGCTGGATTTTGGCAAGCCTACCCTACTGGCACCATTGAGAGTTGGGGTGACATCTGCCTTCCATGCTGTAACCATCCCTATCTGTACCAATCAGTATCCCAACATGCTCCACTCATGCTAAGACAATGTGAGGCAGTGTCTTAGTAATTATCCTATTGCTATGAAGAGACGCCATAAGCAAGGTAACTTTTTAATTGGGAACACATTTAATTGGGGGCTTTGCTTTACAGTTTCAGAGGGTGAGTCCATGATCATCATGGCTGGAAGCATGGTTGCAGGCAGGCAGGTATGGTGCTGGAGCCATAGCTCAGAGCTTACTCTGGTCTGCAAATACTGGGCAGAGAGAGTGAGAGACTTGGTCTGTAGGCTTTGAAACCCCACCACGGACACACCTACAAAAAGCCCACACCTCTCAATCCTTCCTAAACAGTCCACCAACTGTGAAGCAAATACTGAAATATATGAGTCTATGAGGGTCATTCTCATTCAAACAACCACAGGCAGATTTATTTTCAAAATGACTACTGATCAAGTTGAGGGCAGAATAAAATGAAAGCTGAGCGACCTACCTGAAGTAGCAGATCTAAAACTTGGCCCTAAAACTAGAGGAGGAGGAGGAGGATTACAAAGCCTAGAAAATGGGTTAGTGTACTGGGGGTAGGCTATTAGGACCACCCAGGGGCTTTCAAAAATACACTCCCTCCACCAACCCTACCACCCAGAGTCAGAAGCCAGTGCTAAGGTGGACCAAGGCAGGGGAAGGCTTTCCAGTAGTTTCCTAGAGCAACTACCATGGGTGCAAGCTGGGCGCTGGAGGTTGTGGAGCAGGGAGGCTGTTTTTGTCATCAGATATGAAAGCCGAGTAGGATGAAGGAAGTGAAAAATCTGAGGGTTTATGATGCAAAATGTGACTGGCAGGGCAGGAAATCTAGATGGAGAGCACAGGAAGCCTAGGAGGGCTCCTACCTATAAGAGGAATGCCTGCGGCTTACTACAGTTGACCTTCAGCTGTGGTCTGGCCATGTCACTCTCCAAGATTTCTTTGTTGCCCCAGGCTGAGGACCCATTTTCTTCCAGAGAGCACATGCTTACACGTTGAAACCTTTCACATTCCATTATTTTGAACCTCAAATGTTATCCCTATTGTGTACTTTGTAGCTTTATTATTATTTATTTTGAACCTCAAATGTTATCCCTATTGTGTACTTTGTAGCTTTATTAATATTATTATTAGTAGTAGTATTAATATTATAACTATTACTGTTGTTGTGGCATTTAAACTCATACTTTTTAGTTTAAAACTCTAAAACAAAAACAAAATGTATACTTGAGTAAAGTAAAGTTTGGCTTTTATCCATTTTTTTTGTTTTGTTTTGTTTTTTGAAACAGGGTTTCTCTGTGTGGTCCTGGCTATCATAGAACTCACTTTGTAGACCAGATTGGTCTCAAACTCATAGAGATCCAATTGCCTCTGACTCCCCAGTGCTAGGATTAAAGGTGTGCCATCATGCCCTGCTTTATCCTGATAATTTGTTGTCATGGAGCCATTTGTCTATCTATACGAGCGTGCCTTCGACCAGAGGTTGATACTGGGTTCTTCCCCAGTTGCTCCACCTTGTTTTGAGTGTTTCTCAACAACCAGGAGTTTTCTGATTTCTTAACTTATTTTTAAAGAAGATTTATTTATTATGTATACAGTATTCTGCCTGCATGCATGCCTCCAGGTCAGAAGAGTGGACCAGATCTCACGATAGATGGTTGTGAGCCACCATGTGTTGCTGGGAATTGCCTCAGGACCTCTGGAAGAACAGTCAGTGATTTTAACCTCGGAGCCACCTTCCCAGCCCCTTTCTGATTCTCCTAGCTTGGCTGTCTCCATCTCCTGGCACTGGGATTTCAGAAGCATGATGTTGAACCTTGCTGGAGTTTAAAACAATTTTTTGGTATGTGCTGGGAATTGACTCAGGGCTTCATGCACACTAAGCAGATGATCTATCATTGATCTATACTCCCAGCAACTGTAAAATTTTCTTTTTTTACCAAAAGGCATTGAGGGACTGAGGAGATGGCTAATCGGATAAGAGTGCTTACTCTGTAAGCATGGGGACCTGAGTTTATCTCCAGCACTCCCATAAAAATATGTGCATGCCAGGAGTAGTGGCACACACCTTTAATCCCAGCACTCTGGAGCAGAGGCAGGTGGATCTCTGTGAAAGTGAGGCTAGCCTTGTCTACAGAGCTAGTTCCAGGATAGCCAGGCTATAGAGACCCAGAGCCTGTCTCAAAAAACAAAACAAAACAAAAAATAAGACCCCAAACAAAACAATTGTTTTGGTGTGATTTCACATACTTGTAGCCCTAGCATTGGAGAGTGAAGAAACTTGGATCCTAGGAGCCCCCTGGCTAGCCAGCGTAGCCCAAAGAGTGGGCTTTCTGTTCTGTGAGGGGCCCTGACTCGAGGCAATAAAGCAGAGTGATCTAGAGGGAAAGCTTGCATCATGCTTTGACTTCCATGTGTGAATGCACAAGTGTGGACATTTGTGTATACTCACATGTACCACACACAAACAAGTAAATAAAAAAAATGTTCACTAAAAAACAGCATTGAAGCTGGGCATTGCTGGCATACGCCTTTAATCCCAGCACTCCGAAGGCAGAGGCAGGAGGATCTCTCTGAGTTCAGGCCAGCCTGGTCTACAGAGCAAGTTCCAGGACAGCCTCCAGAGAAACCCTGTCTCGAAAAGCAAAACAAAACAAAACAACAACAACAACAACAACAACAAAACAGCATTGAGAAAAATAAAACAAGCATTGTTAGTAGCTGCCTCTTGAGAAGCTGACACCTACACTGGGGTGTGTGCCATCCTTCCCTAAGCAAGTCTCTCTCACTAATGCCCATGCTTAAAACCATGGTCTTTTGTTAAAAAACTCCAAGTCAGTTAATTAAAAAAGAAAGGCAATGTTATAGCAGCTTTAAGTACTATGAGGACAATCTTCTGGTTTTGGCGGGGAAACATGCACACTGTTCTATTTGTTATGATAAAGCTCAAGGGGAATCTTTGTGGGGGACCTTGGTGGATCCCACCATAGTAGGTGAGGGTGACTGAGACAGAGGGACAAACATGCTAGGCTGTCAGCTTAAGTGAGAAGTTTTATTAGAAAGGGAGGGCTAGAGGAAAGAGAAAAGACTAAAAAGACACAAAGACAGAGAGAGGACAGAAGAGAAGAGGGAGACAGGAAAAGTCTTGTCTGCACCAGGGGAACAGTAGGCAAGAGAGTGGAAAGGGATAGCAGAAAAGAGAGGAGAGCATAAGTGGGTGGAGGTCTTTCTTTTAAAGGGGTCCTTTGCACTTGTGATGACCAGGGTACTGCCTGAGTGCATTTTGCCAGGAGACAGGGGCAGGCCAGCCAGAATAATGCCTGACTCCTTACACTATTAGTTCCTATTTCTTGGCTAGCCTAGCCAGCTAAGTTGAGTAAGTTTACAACTTTCTTTGCCAACTTACTTTTTTTTTTTTTTTTTTTTTGTGGTGGTACTAAGGTTGTACCTGGGCCTCACATACACTAAACCAATTGTTTTGTTTACTCATCAACTATTTATTTATGTTATCTATTGCAAAAGACAAGCTAATTTTGCTAGGACTGAGTAAGACTGATAAGCAATGCTCAATTGTCCCACAGGTACTAAGCACTTTGCATATACTGTTCACATTTAATCAACCAAAAGAAGATATTCCTATCTGCACTTTAAAGATAAGGGACTAAGTCACAGAGAACTAAAATCACTTAACCTCACCTGAGAGGTTGAAAGGCCCACCATTTTAGCCTAGCTCTGGCGGGCCACTGCTCTAACCACTGAGCGACACAGTTACAAGGTTCTTAAGAGTGTGAACTGTCTGCATTTCATTGGCTGACTCACTCATTCACTTCAATATTGAGTAAATATTGAAGGCCCATGGGGCAAGCACCTATCTGCCTGGTGCCCAGGGTACTGGTGAGGTTGCTAGGAGATAGTGATAAGCTCTCCCCATGGTGCTGAGCAGGGGCTGTGCTTCAGACTGATAAGGTACACCAGACTACAGGAGTGAGTTGCTAGTGGAACCTGGAAGGGGCAGATGAATGGAAAGGACAGTTAACAGATACTGCGGCTTTGGTAAGAGAATGTCCCCAACCTTCTGTGAGGCACCAGAGTTAGACATGAGAACAAGCATGCCAATTTCACTCCCTGACCCCACCTCCTGGCTACTTTCCTATAGACCAAGCACAACTGGAGGGCAAAGGATGGGGGTGGGGGGTGTTAAGGGTACACACTGAGGAACTCCATGTGGCTCAGCCTCTCAGAGAAGTTTTGGGAAAAAAACAACATGGAAAAGTTACCTAAAGAGATGATCAAAAACGACAGAAAATTCTGTAGTTTGCACATCAGCACTGGCACTAGCTGGGTATCCGTTCATCTTGCTTGGTGTGCAGCATCATTCATTAACTTGAGACTTGGCCAAAGCAGATCACCAATACACATCTGTGGGAGAAGAAATGGGTTAGGGGAGGGGTGGCTAAGGTGCCACTTGAATAAGTGAAGATAATGTATTCTTAAATGAAATTTTATTTTAGAATAGTTTATACATTAAAACTTATTTTAGAGTTCTAGATTTATAAAAAAATGATTATATAGAAAATTATCATTTAACTTACTAGCATCTTGTGGTACATTTGTCACAATTAATGAACCAGTATTTGACACATTATAATTATTATTATTATTTGGTTTTTCGACACAGTGTTTCTCAGTGTACATTCCTGACTATCCTGGAACTCACTCTGTAGACCAGGCTGGTCTCGGACTCACAGAGATTCCCCTGCCTCCACCTGCTGAAAGCTGGGATTATAGGTGTGTGCCACCACTGCCTGGCTCATTGGCACATTATTAACTGAAGTTACACACCATTCAGATTTCCTCAGTGACTACTTAACATCCTTCATCTGTTCCTGCTAAATTTCACTGTCAGTGCATCGTCGTGGTCTCCCAGAGGGTGACGATTCTTGCTTTCCTTGTCTTGCATGACCCTGACAATGTTCAGTATCAGTCAGTTATGTGGTGGGCATCTCTTTTTTTTAATTTTTATTTTATTTTATTAGTTCAAATTAGGAACAAGCTTGCTTCAGATGTCAATCCCTTCTCCCTCTCCCTCCCCTCCCCCCAACATCCCACCTGCCCCTAGCCTTCCCCCCCTCCACTCCCCAGGCAGGGTAAGACCCTCAAAAGGGGCTCCCCAAAGTCTACCACATCCTCCTGGGCCAGGCCTAGGCCCTTTCCCTTGTGTCCAGGCCAGAGCATTCCTTCATATGGGATGGGCTCTCAAAATCCCTTCTTTTTTTTTTTTTAATAAGACCTTACATATTTAATACAGTGCGTTACCCCTGTACAAATGGAAAAAAATTAAGTTCAACACTTCTAGACCAATATGGCTGTTAATTTTTGTACAATGCCAACTCAACACGGTAAACTGGGATACTTTTTTCCAAAGTTGACAGCACAGCTAAAGTTTCCAAAAATTCAAATTATATATGTATATATATATTTTTATATTTATATAAAACGACCAATAATGGCAGTATGTTATGCATCAATAGCAGCAACAGCTTTTCCAGGTTCTGCAGTCATTTGAACAGGTGGACATCTCTTGTTGGGATTGATTTTAATGTTTTCCAGTGATTAGGAGGAAGACTAAGAACACAAATCACTCTTATCATCAGACCATCTCAAAGGACAGACTCCCGACAGTGATTTTCCTTATGGACCTTGGTCCATGGGGTTGACTAATGTTACCCAAGGCTGCCCAGTGTGGTTATTCTTTCTCTGAGTTCCATTTACTTTGTGACATGGCACTCAGGAGGATTTGGGAATCCCATTCCATCTTATTGATGGCCAAATATCTATAAAAATGGTTTGGAATGCTTGGTATGGGAGATTTGTCTGTTTTCCCTCATTAATTTATTTATTCATTTATTTTTATTAGTGGGGACTCATGGGTAGTTTTACTTTGGTTCTAATTCAATACTGTGTTACTCAAATTGTCCCAGTCTTGACTACTGGAGGATGTAGGGAGAGGAGGACTCTTTCAGTTGGCCCTGGGGTCCTTTGACACTCCACTAAGATTGCGGTTTTGTGCGTAGTTTTACTCTCTGGCAATTCAAGATACTGTAGAAGCAACTTGTAGACTTCTGGCCTCAAGCGTGGAAGAGTTTATTTCCTATTGGGAAAATCAATAGAATCTAATTTCTGGGGCTAGCTGTCTGAGTGATCATCAGGGCGTCATGACTTTTAGGTCTTTTAAGGTATGAGAGCAAGAAAATATACGTGTATCCTAATGAACATACTTATATACACATATATGTGTGCATGTAAAGATATATGAATATCCCTATATACTCATCTGTATCTATATTAAATATGAGTATACACTGAATCTTTTTTTTTTTTTTTTTGGTTTTTCAAGACAGGGTTTCTCTGTATTGCTTTGGAGGCTGTCCTGGAACTCGCTCTGTAGACCAGGCTAGCTTCGAATTCACAGAGATCCACCTGCCTCTGCCTCCTGAGTGCTGGGATTAAAGGCATGTGCCTACCAACACCTGGCCACACTGAATTTCAAACTTGAATCTAATCTAGTTCCCTATAGCTCATTCTAGTCATTCTAACAGGTCACAGCAGTGCTTATTGTTATTTTATGTTTATTTATGTGTTTTGTTTGTTTGTTTGGTTTTGGTTTTTTAAGACAGGGTTTCTCTGTATAGTCCTAGATATCCTGGAACTAGCTCTGTAGACCAGACTGGCCTTGTATTTATATGGACACATGTGTTTGAGACAGGATCTCACTCTGTATCACTGGACTCTGTATCACTGGTTGGTCTCACACCCGTGTTAGTCCAGGTATGAGCCACCATGCCATCTCAGTTGTTGCTGTGGTGGTAGCCATGGTTGTTCTGTTTCATATACTTATTTAATTTTATCTTTTATTACATTTACTTACTTATTTAGAAGGGCATGCATATGCTATGCAAGCATGGGGAGGTCTAAAGATAAATGTCTGGGAGTCAGTTCTCTCTTTCCACGACGTGGGTCCCAATGATCAATTTTTTTTTTTTTTTTTTTTTTGAGACAGGGTTTCTCTGTGTAGCTGTGGAGCCTATCCAGGCATTTGCTCTGGAGACCAGGCTGGCCTCGAACTCACAGAGATCCGCCTGCCTCTGCCTCCTGAGTGCTGGAGATTAAAGGCGTGCGCCACCAACGCCTGGCTTCAAGGATCAATCTTGTGTTGACTGCTTGGTAGCTCCCTTACTCTCTTTACACCAGTACTTTAGCATGGCTGTTTTTGGTTTGATGTTGTTTTTTCTTTCTAAGTCAGTTTCATGGTGTTGAAGCTGGGCATTGGTGGCGCACGCCTTTAATCCCAGAACTTGTGAGGTAGAGGCAGATGGATCTCTGTGAGTTCGAGGCCAGCTTGGTCTCGAGAGTGAGTGCCAGGATAGGCTCCAAAGCTACACAGAGAAACCTGTCTCGAAAAACCAAAGATATGGGTTCAAAGCCCATGGACAAGTTCTAGGAATTTCTAAACTAGAAGTAAAATTTTACTTGTGATTCTTGTCATTATCTGTTTAGTTTTAACTCAAAGTCTTGGCAGACATTTTCAAATCTTAGTGTTGAGAATCAACTCACACTAGGCCTGGAGTGCTGAGAATACAAAACACACTTAAACATATGCATTTAAAAATTAAAAAAAGCTACTCATGCCAAAGAATGGAGGTTAGACCCACCTTATTCTATAATATCTGTGATACTAGTGGTATTTTTAGAAATATCCAAATAATCAACATTTGATAGTCAGGTGAGGTGGTTCATATCTACAACCATACTACTAGGGAGACAGAGGCAAGAGGATCGATTATAAGTTCAAAGTCAGCCTGGACTCCTAAGAAGACTCTGTCTTAACAACAACAAAAACACTGATAAACACAAGAGTGAAGCTAGCTGGGTTGGTGGTGTCTATTCATTATCTCAGCACTCGGGGGTTGGATGATCACCAGTTTATGGCCAACTTTGACTATATAGTGTGTTTTAGGTGGCCTGGTCTACATGAAACTCTTTCCCCCAAAACCCCAAACCAACCAAACAGAAAAGGCTTCTAATTCACAGAGATCCACCTGCCTGTGCCTCCAGAGTGCTGAGATTAAAGGTGTGTGCCATCACACTCAACTGACAGAGGAACTGTTATTTTTTGTTCTGTTTTTCTAGATGGGGTTTCTGTGTATAGTCTTAGCTGTCCTGGAACTTGATCTGTAGATCAGGCTGACCTTGATAAAACAATAAACAAAACTAGAGTTAAAAATTTCTGACCAGTCCCAATCAAATAGAGATTGACAAACTTATAAAGAATAATATTGGAAACCACATTTAGTTTGCTGAAAACAAATTAGGGAACAAAATAAGTATTAAGGAGACAGTAGGTATCCTGGGAAGGATCAAAATGATAAACACTAATTTTAAAAATTATCTATGAGTACCTGCACCAGGCCACAGATATTTCTGCAAGTATTCTCAAAACCTTCCCTAACCACCCCCAATTAAAAAGGGGACAGCAAGGTGATTAGCTCAGTGGGTACAGGTGTTTGCTCTGTGCAAAGCTGATGACCTGAATTCCATCACATTAACTCACACAAAGTAGGAGAACAACAACTCCATAAAATTGTCCTCTGACCTCCAATTATATACAGTGGCATGTGTAATAATAATACACATTATTTTTAAAATAATACATTATTTTAAAAAGAGGGCTGGGGGTGTAGCTCAGTAGCAGAGTGCCTAGCGAGTATAAAGTTCTGCTTAAAACCCAGCACGAAAACAAAACAGAGTAAGTATAATGTAAGTGAATTATTAATAAAAAATATACTGTTCACAATTGTTGTCTTTAATGTTTCCCTGAATTATTATTAAGGCAACAAAAATGCTTGAGAAATGTTTTATATAAAAATTTGAATAACTTCTGAGAAAAAAAAAAAGAGCAGATTTCTTCTTTTGTTGAGCCAGGTTTCACTATGTATGTAGTCCACTTGACCTTTCCATTCATAATCTTCCTGCCTCTGCCTCCTGGATGCTGGGATTACAGGTGTACATACTTAGGCCTGGCCATGAAGTTTTATTTATTTTGAGACAGTCTCTTTACATAGGCCTGGGTCCTGGAACTCCCTTTGTAGACCAGGCTGGCTTCTAACTCACATAGATCCACCTGCCTGTGCCTTCAGAGTGCTGAGATTAAAGGTGTGTGCCATCACACTCAGCTTACAGAGGAACTGCTATTTTTTGTTCTGTTTTTCGAGACTGAGTTTCTGTGTGTAGCCCTAGCTGTCCTGGAACTTGGTCTGTAGATCAGGCTGACCTTGAACTCAGAGATCCACCTGCCTCTGCCTCCTGAGTGCTGGGATTAAAGGCGTGCGCCACCAATGCCCAGTGACAGAGGAATGCTA